GAAGAAGAGAGAGAGAGAGAGAGAGAGAGAGAGAGAGAGAGAGAGCCGAAAAGTGATATACGAAAAAATACTCTCAACTCTCTTGGCACTTGGCTTCAGCAGAGATAAATAGTAGCCATGGGTGCGGCTCGACAATGTCTACGAGGCACACGTTTTAAATGGATATGAATCGCACGAATCCGTGAGCGAGACGGCGCAAGGACGGAAGAAAAATCAAAAGATAAAAACGAAGAAGAGTAGAGAGGAGGAAGAAGAGGAACATGTCGGTGCTATATAAACGAGAAGAGTTCTCGCTTATGTTTCAAGTGCATCGATGATAGTTTAATGGCGCGGCAGGTAAAAGTAATGCGTCGTAAAAATAATGCCCTTACTCCTCACAGTCTTTGATTGTCATCTCGCGAGGATATTTATGTGTTACAAAAATATACAGAGCTCGAAACATCAAGAAAGAGAAAAGCATAATCAAGGATCAAATCGTGGAGATATATGCGGCCCCGCATAAATGCTATGCGCGCGATCGTCAAAAAAAGCTCATCTGATTAACAAAGTTATGCTTGCGATTTTATTTTCAACAAGTTTGAACGAGTTATCTCTAAAGTGACTTAAACGCAAAAAGGTAAATTTTTATCATTTTGATGATTATTTTGGCTCTTTTTCTGCCTCAATTTTACATTTGACAAGATGGAGAAAGATAACAAAATGAGCTAAATTAAAGTAATCTTTACCAATTATTCATTTCATTTACAAAGTAAATTTGTATACGTTCCGTGTGTGCGATCTTAAAATTAATTCACATATTATATTATTACAATTTTTCAATTGCCTATTATATTAATCATTATAGAATACGAATTATTGTAACATATCGCTGAGATGTAACTTGCTCAATGAATGCTCGTGATTTATACGACATTGTTTCATTAACTCACGGGTGGGAAATTACATACTAACTATAATTTATAGCCAATAAATATGATGCGATTGTTCACGAGACAGTTATCGTCACACATATTTGATGATCGCAATGACGGTTTAATAATCGAATACAATGACAATTTATTTCAATCTTTGCCGGAAAGTACAAAAGAGATATCTTTTTCGTAGTTCCTGCTTCCTATTTTTTAGTAGATATCACATATTTAAGTATGTTTATAAATATTACTTATTATTAACAGATTATTAACTTTAATAATATTATATAATTTTGTATTAATTGGCATAATGATATTTTACGTACACAATAATTCTGTGTACTTAACATTGTAATATTATATCGATACGTTATATCGATATTTTGCAAAATATTAAAAAGAAACATAACTTTTTTGCTCGATTTATTACTCTTCTGATATTTTTATGATTTTATCTATTATAAGATTTTCATTAATTAACGAAGAAAATGAGAAATGAAATTAGCTTTACTCTTTAACATATGAAGCTATTAGATATTATTAACATAAGTTTTTAATTTTCTTGTCATAACTTTGTAGCATAATTAGTTACAAAATTAAATAATTTAAAATTTAATCATTAAAATTAATTAAATATTTAATCATAAAAATTAATTAATATCTGTGGACATTTCGATTGTAAGATCATTTCGCCTCTTTATCCACAATGAAAGCGGAAATCGAGATTCGAATCGTGTCATCGACACAATTGAATTCTACGCATCATACGATGGTCGTTCATTTATTTAAAATTACGATTAAGATGAAAAAAGACTTCAAAATTAAGATGAAAAAAGACAAGATAAAATTTGTCTCGATTTCTTCGAATATTAAATAATAAAATATGATTCAATGATTCAAAAAGAGAATATTACTTCCATTAGTTTTTATCATTTCTATCATTATAATTTTTATTCGCAACAATAATTTATTTTGGCAACATAACATTCGGATCTTTCGCTCAACAGCCACATCGGCACCAAAATCGGCGCAGTTTATTTCAATATATGAAAGTGGGGAATGAAACTCTATAAAGAAAACGAATAAATCTCAGAAATCTCGCCCTTCCGATGTTTTAATAATACACGTGTCTTGTACTGTACGAGACAGGCACACGGCATAACACCGGCATACACCGCGAATGTTTATCTTATTTCCTCGAAAAGCCGCCCTGTTTATCCTTCGCATTTCGCGTGCGAGCCGATTTGAATTCTCGCGAGCTCTTTTGTTAAGCTCAGGGTGAGGCACAACGTCGATATATTGCCCGGGGTGATCGTATCGTCGTGAATTTTCATGGAACTTGAGATACGTCATTTTTAGATTGTAGGGTCGATCGATTGCAGATAAATGTGATTGTCGTTCGTCAATCACGTCAAGGATATGTGAATACTTCCAATTCAATTCAATTCTGCAAATCGAACGTTGATAAAAATCAGTTTAAAAAATTACTTTCACGTTGGGGAAAAATCGAACGGATAACATATCGAAACTAAAACATGAATAACATTTATTGAAATAAGTAATAAAAATATACAACGTTCGAGAAGCAGAGAGAGAGAGAGAGAGAGAGAGAGAGAGAGAGAGAGAGAGAGAGA